CGTCTAAAAATAAAACATTACCTATAATGAAAACCACCCTTGAATGATGGGATAGCAGACTAAAAGCTTTAGGAATCCAAACTATAACATATAATAAGTACCCTGTATCAAGATTGATGCAAAACAAGGGACATTTGACCTTTTTAGAGAGGGCTAGAAAAAAAAATGGGTCATTTGGGTGCATTTGCCATATCTCTGAAACCCATCGGTCGATTTTGGTGACTGACACCTGTTTTGAACCGTTAGAGCCAATAGAATCGAGGGGAAGTTCCTAAAATCCATCTAAACATTACGCATTGGTGAATGAGTGATGAGCAGCCATAATGCCCAAAACCGGAAGCTGGGTTGTAGCTCTCATACACTCTATATGAAAAGTCAGTTTTTGACATAAATGTGATGATGGATTATCAGTAATCATTTCAAAGTGACACAGACACATTGGATTAACCTTCAGCAGCGTTTCTATGCGTTTTAATGCCATTGAACACAACTTTTGATCAGAAAACAGCAAAGGTAAGATGTATTTGCCATTTTGACCCCGTAAAGCTAAGTTGTGTGTTGTCTGGTTTCGCCTTCGCTGCCGCAAGTGTTGGTTGTGGAGTGATGATACTTATACCATTGGAATCTGTGGAATCTAAGCTTTCATATGATATCTTGTTTGTGCAGATCCGATGAAGTATAACATACTTCTACCGTGAGTTATGTGCTAAGTGCGTTACTACTCTTTTGCTTAGTGCTAATTCAGACGCTCGGCGTTAGACTTGTGTTTTGTTTCGGCAAAAATTGTCAATATCGTCAGTTAGTTGAGTTTCTTCCCGTTAAGTGGATATGACACATTAATAGGTTGTTAAATGTTAAGAAGCCCTGAGACACAGTTTCGTGAAAAAAAAAAAAAAAAGGCTTAACAGGTTAATAACCATGCTTGTGAAATTCAGAACATTGTATGTTTTGAGCTCAATAAATAATGATGAGGGCTATTGTTTCTAACTGTATGTCATTATTTATGAATTACTGTCCACTACAGCCACTAAATGACTTACCTCCCATCCATCAACATCAAGTCCTCTCTTGCCATAGATATCATAGATGGCTCGTGCCTGTGGTTCACGAAGCACTGAAAAGACATGGATAACCACCAACGTTATTAACCCTCAGAATAGTACCATAACATAATGAACGTCATTTGCTTTATCTGAAAAGCTGTTCTTACCTTCATAAGCTTCATGTACGAGGTTAAAAAGTTGTTCTGCCTGACGCTTTAGTTCAGGGTCCCTGTGTTTGTCTGGGTGATACAGCATGCATAATCGCCTGTATGCCGCCTTCAGCTCGTCCTGTGTCGCCTGAGGCACAAGATTACAACGCATAAATGTGAAAGAGAAACTTGTTGGTAAACTTGAGCAACAACATACAAAACACACAGCAGGATGTTGCTACAGCTTAACTCCACTACTTTCACTTTTACTTTCAAATCATCCAAGACTTATATGAAATGAAAATGAACTGTTGTACTATGCAGGGTTTAGGTAACTGAAAAACAGAAAACAGCTGTTTAAATTCTGGTTTTACTAATATTGTTGTTGGATACACTATAGTAGAACAGGTATAGCCCCAATAGTCATCAAATTCGCTTGTTATGTAATGTTCTGTATTATTATGTGTTATCTTCTTAAACACTGACATGGAGATTATACACTTTTATTAAGATGTGTTGAGAAAATGTCTCGTTTATTTTGCAAACTTTTTTTGTATATTTTAGTTATTCATGCTTATCATCTTAACAAGGACATATACGAGTTATCTTTTAACATAGTCAATCTGGAACAGCATGTTTTTGTGCCAAAATATATTGTGTTTTGAAAGTGTCAACTTGCATAAAGTTGTGGACGAATTATTCAGTTTGCTCACTTAGGTGAATCTATTAATACCACAGTTTAAAAAGACTGTTACAAGTAAACATTACTTAACTTTAAAGTAAAAATAAGTATCTAGTAGCATAAAATGGAGCCACTGAAGTACAAATATCTCAAAACTGGACTTTGTGAGTTACAGTAACATAACTCGAGTAAATGTACTTAGTTACATTCCACCACTGCTTGCATTTGAACATAATGTTCTCTTCTTTACTAATACAGGTTGACAGACAGAAAGTATTTGATTCCCAGACAGATATTTCCATTGCAATCTGATCAGCTGTAAATAATTAATGCTGAAACCCTGAAGTTGTAGCATTAGCTAACTTTAGTTAGCACTGTCCATGAGATAATTATGAAACTGAAAATAACTGTCAATGTATTATCTTTAGCTTCCAGATCCCGGCAGTAACGCGCGATCCTCTGCCTAACTTTATCAACACACAGCCCCTGCTGGAAAAGTCTTAACCTCACAACCTGTTGGGTGTCTTGCAAACAAAGTATCCAGCCGAGGAGTCACAGCATAGAAATCAATGTCGAGGGTCACAAGCTAGCCACCTAGCTAACGATACATGTGATTGTACACGAAACTGCTCAATATCAGCCGGATAAAGTTTATAGAATTGCTGCGACATGCCCCTGCACACACATCAAACCATATCACTGCTGCATATTTTACCTCTCTCCTAACATTTAGCAGGGAATAGTAATCATCGTTGAGGATCTCATCATCGTCCAAGGAAGACGCCATGTTTACACCCGGTCATCTCTTCTTCGTGGCATTCAGGTCGGTTAAAGCCTTCTGTGCGCACTCTATCGCCCCCTTGTGTTGCGGATGAATAACAACACAGCAGCTTTGTTTACATGCTTGTTCATGATTTTTTCAACTTGTGCTTTACACTTTAAAGTTTAAAATGATCTTTTATTCACCGTTACTGAAGATTTTATAAGGAATTGTCGTGACATACACATAAGATTGGTTGCAAAGTAAAAAGGTAGGGTTGGTTTTTCCTCACAACCCCCAAAGAGTGTATAATAAATTCCCCATAAAGTGTAATATATTATTTTTTTACTCTGCAACTGGCAATGTAACAATTTCATGCAATTTTGTATTAAGAAAAACACTAATTTGAATACAGTCATACATATTTAATGCAATACAATTAATATTGAATATAGTTACTATAGGCTACATATGACGTTATATCTAACTTTAAAACAATGTTATCTGCATTCTATCCACATAGGAACAATTTAGGCTAGGGGTGATTAAACTGCATTAGTCTTTCATTAGTTCATTATTACTTTCTGTGCAACAACAACAAAGCCATTGACTGTATACAAAGGGGCACGAGCAGCAGGCAGCAGAGGAGCTGTCCTTTCAGCACTACCAGCTCAAAGTAAACACTGCGTTTCAGCACTGACGGCCACCAGCCTGTTAATGCAGGGTGAAGGCTGTCCTTAAGTGCTGTAGTTGACGCGAGTGCCAACAGCACAGCCTATTAAGCACTATGATGTGTAATTAGATTGCCTGTGGTCATTCAACGTAGCCATACTATTGTCAAGCCTATATGCTACTGCGCCATACTGATGGAAGTTAGAAACCTTAATGGCATAGTGAGCAGAATTAAAGTAAATGTAAGCAGTTGTTCTTCACATCTGTGCATCACATCGACCCCCCAGTACCTAAAGTATTTATCTGATATTGTTTTCTTATGGTCGGATCCACATCTTCTAGTATGGCCTGCAGCATTCAGCATCATTGTACGGCAGTATGAAATCAGTTTGACATGGATAATAGGGAACACACTCGTCCCCAGGCTTTCAAATGTAGACTGACATCTGGACACTTGATTGATAGACAGTGCAGACAATCAGTACTGTTTGATAAGTTTGCAGTGTTGTTTTGGTAGTTTGTATTATGCTATGTTCCCAAGACTACCCAATAATCACATGTCATAGGCTACTGATTTGATTCAATGTACCACAATTAACATTAAATTAAAAAAACAAGACAAACTTAAAACGTATTTGCTGTTATGGATGATTAACAGGATAAAATATGCAAATGTTGTATCCGCAGAGAGTTTTCTTGTTATCAGTGGTATGAAGACCTCAATTATCAGTTTAGATCAGCAGCTCTGAGGAAAGCTTACATTAAAAACAAACTTAATGAAGGCCATTAAACAGTTAGTCGTCTAATTAGCCTAATATCAACAGACTAATCTAAACGTTTTCTGTCACTCAGGAGTAAAATTGTTTATTCAGTGTAAAACAACTTTAGTGGGACGGCTCAAAGACAAACATTTTGTATTTACAGTCTAATTAGTTTAAATTAAAATATGCAGCGTCACCTACTGAGCCTTAATTCTTTTATTTTTAATATAATAACACGTCCCCTTAGAGGTGGGAGAAGTACAAGTAGAGTGTAGGGATACTCTGTTACAAGTAAAAGTCTTGCAATCAAATGTTACTCAAATTAAAGTAGAAAAGTATTAATCAAAATATAGTTAAATTATCAAAAGTAAAAGTACTAATTATGCAGACTGGCCCATTTCAGTATCACATATATCATATGTTTTGACTACTAGCGCCAGGTGTAACATATTGCATATTTAAGGGTTGATTATATTTCACATAATTAATCAAAATCTGCAAAGTAACTAAATGTATACAAAAGTATGTAAGTACAATATTTACTTCTCAATTTAAGGAGAGTACAAGAACAAAGAAGCAAACAATTGAAATACTCAAGTAAAGTACAAGCCCCTCAAAATTGTACTTAAGTACTTGAGTAAATGTAGCCTACTTAGTTACTTTACACCACTGCGTCCCCTTCTTTTAAGAGGAGCGTCATGCAGCGCCTCTGAGCTGTTTTAAATTCCCTTTAAAAAAACAGAAGCAGGCTGGTGGTGTGTGAAGGTGAGGGGAGCTGTGTATCCTCTCTGTCAGTCTCCTCTCGCAGCCAATAGTAAGTTCTGCTCGGACGGACCGACTCGCCGCTGCTGCTCCGGTCCCTCCTCGTGCTGTCCTCGCCGTGCACGCGCGTGGTACCCACGGTCGTGAGGAGGAGGAGGATGTTGCGCGTGAAGGGGAAATGGCTGCCGAAAACAAGCCGGAAGGTAAGAGAAATATAATGGGATTAATTTACTAGTATGACCGCTGTGTGATTTTAGAACAGTTGCAACTCTGTGCGGAAGATGTCACAGACGCGAGGACAAGTGGAGAATTTTTGTGTAGAAAACGTCTCCGCTGTTTTCCTCCGAAAAGGCTGCTAAAACGTGGAGACATCACCTAGCCAGCTAATATTAGCTTGCATTCTAGCCAGCTACTATTCCAATCGTAGCCCACATTTAAAGCCCGCCACGGGGACAAACAGTCCGCGTGGTAAAAGTAAAGCGTTTATTTTGCTCGCAATTCTTGTCTAAAGGCGAGCAAATTCAAGTTGTTAACAACAATGCTAAGTTAATGACAACATGTCATTGGCATCGACTAACTTCTTCCCTTATTACCCAGCTTTAAAAAAGCGGCTTGCTTCTGTCAGTTTATCTGTCAACACGGCTCTTTTCTTCAATCGTTATGTGCAGGGTGTTTTGAATGCATTGTAAAGATCATTTGAACATCTCTTTTATAATGTTTTTGTGTTTTATATTCCTCCGTCTTAGAGAGGCTCGTTCAGTTCTTCCTTGAAGCGCTGGCATTCAGCGAATAGTGTTTGCGAGTCAGAAGTGATGTATCTTTTTTGTTTTTTACATAAGCGGATATATTTATTTTTGTCCAAATGCCAATTATAGACTACTACTTGGCCTATATTTGGTTCGAGACACGGGCTTCACAACGTTGTAATGCCCGCTCCGCTCGCAATGCCCTATCGCACTTGAAATGAAATGCCATCACACAGAGGAAGCAGGAGGATGGAGAGTGTAGGGTTTCCAGCAGCTGCTCATAACACTACTTTACACATAGGGACAAAATGATGACTTTCTCCCTCAGCCTGTTTCATACGGCTCACTGACTTAACATTAAATTCACTCGACTTAATTATTTCCTCTTTATGGGATATTTTATAGCAAAACATATGCATAAGCGATCTGTTCTCATTCAGAGAGGCCAATGGAATTTTTTGGTGAGTAATTAAGCTTATATGAAAATATAAAAGATGTATTGCATCAATGCTAAAGGGAGTAGTTTTCAGCTTGTTACTGCTTAGTATTTAAACTAGAAAGAGTTAAGGGCTGACATTCTTAGATAATAAAAAAGCATAAATCAACCTTAAAATGCATTTGCCAGATTTGTATTGAAATGACTAAAGACTGTCCAGATTTTGTGCATGTTTAATTCAAATGTCCTGTTCATGTTTATGTTCTTTTTTTGTTATGGTCATCATACTTTGAAATGTTTAACTTTAGTTTTTTGATTGACAGAATTGAGTATAATGATATGTCATTAAAACAGTATGTCCTAAACTTGGGGTATTTATATACATATTTTTGAATTAACTTGAAGTGGAGCGAAAGACTCATCCTGCACTTGAAAAGTGTTTGCATAATTTGAGTGCGAGAAAAAAAAGACTCCTTATAGGTGCAGCTGTTTCTGAGCTGTTCATAAGTAGTGTTGCAGGCTTCAAAAGTAAATAGACCTCCTTCAGAGATTGGTGTCAATAACCTTAAAAGTGAAGTCTTTTTGAAGTAGAACCACTTTTATGTTTAAAATAGGAGTAAACAAATTGCCTCTGTCTATATAAGGGTAAACGATAAAAGGCTGAACTCAGTTGTTTGGATGTCAGTGTGCCAACCACCAAACAGAGTCCCACCAGGGGGTGCTATTGAGCTACAAAAACACACCTAACTATATGAGAAATCTGTCTGTGGCTATGACAAAACATAAAGACATCTGCTTTATGATAGTAATGTCTTCATTGTGGCGTATAGTCCTAACGTATTCATCTACTGAGCTGAACTTAACAAATAGGCTCCAGTTGTTAATCTCGACGGCTCTCCAACACAGCGAGCTCTCACTGAAAAACCCTGGCTTCAAAGTCCCATTGCTGAGCAGGTGAAGTTATTTTCAGTGTTCCTGTGAGGCCGGTCAGTGGGAAAAGGAGGAGGAGCAGCATAGAAACAGAGAGTGCTTCGTACCTTGACATAAATGTGATGTTGCCTCATTCAAACGTGGCCCTTAAAGCTTTTACACACAGCTGTCATGCTGGGTCTTTACTCATGCATCCCGTTTTCTTAATTCATGAATGTAGAGCATGCTGTTTAAAAATACATCACTATGACAGTTTTAACATGACATGTCCCTGGATGTCGGGTAGCCGTGTAGAGAGATAAACGGTGTTTCCGTAACCTTTTGTCCTTGTGGTATGCAGGCAGATCTGAACTCTCTCAGACGTTTGGCAGGTCCTCTGATGGCCCATAACAACTGAGGGTTACATCTTGTGTTAAACCCAAGGGCCACGGCCCACTCTCACTCACTAATGTAATGTTTACATCCTGGGGTATTCCTCTCCAGCCTAAATGATTGTCAGGACCCTTGAGGGTGTTTTTTTTGCTCTTCACACTCATGAAAAGCACTGTGGGTCCGTTACTTTAAGTACAAGGCCTGGAGGGCACTGAAAAGACACATTTGATATCTCACACCCAGACTGCTCTGGAGGAAAGTACAGCCAATGGTTTTATGAATCTACTAGAGTGTAGTCATAAAAATATTGCTGTTTAAAGGCCAATTTTGTAGAAACAGAACAAGCACTTTAGTAAACACAAGCTCCACTGCTAACACTTGTGTGGTGTTGGGATTCATCATAAAAAGTAAACACTGTGCTAACGTTAAATATTGATGCTTTTAACCTCTGAAGTTGAATCTTGATACGGACAGTTTTGGTCTGTAAAACATTACATAACATTATTTTAAAATCACATAAATGCAAGACCAATGATGGGATAGTTTATTGACACGTAAACTTGTGAATCCAAGGGAAATTAACTTTTAGGACAACTGAAACACTCTGAAAACTTTTCTTTTAAGAAGAAAAGGAAGAGGATTAGGCCTGTTGCCTCAGCAAAGCTGGAAGTAATATTTCACTTTGATTTCCGAGCGGGTGCAGTTAAAAAAAGTTTCATGATGTTATCTTTTCACTCAAAGTTCAGGGGGAAGCAGCAGCAAAACATCAAGTAAGCACGCAGTCAGCCATTAAGTTACAAAAGTGCCTGTGCAGCAATGGTATAAATATTTCGGCGCTGTTTTCTAAAGAAGGATGAATTTAACCTCGTCGTGATGTCGGACGACTCGCTCTCCCACTGTGTGTTGAATCAGGCGCTACATTATGTTCCTCCAGACGTTGAATTGAATCAGTGAGGTGAGGATGGATGGCACGCAGGTCCGGTCTGTGGTTTCTGAGACGGATCACTTGTCATGCTGCCTGTAATAGACTTTTACTGACGGCTTTGCACGGCATCCACTGATTGATTGTATTGATTCCTCAAGTTTAGCACTGATACAATAAGGAGCGTTAGTGACCCGTATCAAAGCAGGTCAGCGTAGCACTTCTCAAAACGGTACAAAAAATGTTCATTCAATGGATTATCTCTCTGTTTTAAATGACAACAGACACATTCACTGTGATTTACAATCAATATTATTACCAGAACGACTAACCCAACAGCTCTTGTGTGTTTCAAATGTATTTCAATATACTGTGTGTCTGTTGATAATGTTTGCATGGGGAGTTTGCTCAGTTACCAAAGGCTGGGAGAATGCTTCTTTTCCTCGATTTTCCTCTACTTTTCTCTTTGCCTCCTGAAGGACTGAAGAAAGTTCGTAATCCGGATCGAATGTACAGATCAGCAGTGTGTTATGCTGGCCATGGTCCACCTAAGAGTATCAGTGATGACACAGAGACGAACAGTAAGAGTCAGTTATTAATACTGCATTGCTGCTCCAAAGAGCCACTAGCTGGCCAATCTATTATTCATTCATTGATTCATTTATTTACTTCTTGATTTCATCCGTCCCCATGACACCCCCCCCCCTCCAACACAACACCTCCTCCGGCTGCTCTGTTGATTGAAGTGTCTGCTTTACGGGATCACGCTGTCAATAGCTGAAGTGTTGTCGTTAACTAAGAGTGATTGTTTCAGGTTGAGGCCAGGGGATCAGGACCTGAGCAGACCCTCCGAGAGAAAGCTTACACTTTGAGCCATCAATTATGGCCGTGTACTTGCCTTTTTTTTTTCTGTTTCTCTTAAACCTGCACTTGATAGAGGAAAAAAAAACTACCCGATCGAGGAGTATGACTTACATAAATCTTTCTAGATCAAATAGTGCCTGACAAAAATATTGATGCATTGCTGTATCGTTTAATTGTTTGCTTGGATTAGTGTTTGGTCTGCCTCTCATTACATATGATCTATGAGAACTGTAGACTAGGGGCACGGAACAAAGACAACACAACATCACAGCTGAGGTTTTTACGAGTTATAACAACCAGCTTCTGTGGGAATTGCTTCAGAGCACTTACAAGTCTGTGTACAAGTGATATTTTCTGCCACAACACAAATAAATCAGTCAGGAATATAGGCCAAAGTCTTGATTTTATTTGAGCGGGATTTCCATTCATTCCTCTTTAGAAATGTGTCTAGAACTTAGCCTTTTGTCTTTACACATTGGAAAACTGTCTTCTCTAAAGCAGATTGCCTCTCAGCATAAAAGGAGCCCCATCATTGTTAATAAATACACCAGTCTCCACGCTGCTGGAAGACTAAATCTAGACTAGAGAGGGGTAATTAAGTGTGCTCATGTATTGTCATTTCTAAATAGAGTCTGAAATCCGCCACAACCCCTTGTTATACTCCACATGTGTTGCAGGAAGAGCTCTTTTGCACCAACTGTTTTTTAAAAGACAGCTTTTCTGCCAGGTGCAGATCTATGACGCAGAGATGCAGACTGTAACAGGAACATAGTTGATAGACTTTTGCGTTACCCCCTCAAGTGTGACAGCTGTGACTGACAACACATTTTGCCGGTCTTGCTCTTCCCCCCCATGTTATTGCGTGGTATTACGCTACCCGGTCTTCTTTTCCCCTGCCTCACCAGGACACTCTGTAGCAGCATACAGCAGCTCAAGCAGGCAGGTAAACCATTGATCTGAGTAATCGTCTGAGTAATTGTGGGAGTTGTTATGATACAGAAAGAAGGGCTTTGTTTGTGTGCATGTGTAAGCAAGAGGGAGAAAGTGGAAGAGAACAAGAGCAGCAGAGAGGGGGAGTGAGCGAGAGAAAGAGAGAGACCTCACCTCTGCTCTCCTTGAGATGGGATTTTTATGGATGGGTGGGCTTGGAGAGGGCTGAAAACACATAAAGAGTCATTTTCAGTTTGTTGCAGGCAGTTAACCGTGTGTGCATGTTTGTTGAACTTCCAGTAATAGGCCTACGCTTTTTTAGCTGTTTGACTTTTTGACAGTCTTCCCTTATTTGACTATAATAAACTGGACTATTATAACCAAATTGAGCCGCAGTGCACGCAGGATTGAGGGAACGTTAACAATGTGATTGTAAATTATGAAGCATATTGTGCACAAATGCACAAGAAATGGTGTCAAAATCTCTCCTATTTCACTGGGAGGAGAAAAAACACATTTGTTTTCTTTTACAAACAGCTGTTGTGTGTGTTGCAGGTCAATCCCACATACTATAGCTAGAAGCCATGTAATGCTCTATTTGTTGTAGTTTAGTTGTATCATAGCAACACAAGTTCAGTTTTATTTGCTTGTGGGCGATTTGTAAATTCACTGTCTGTACTGTAAGAGTGTTATCGAACAGACCATAGGGCAAATGATGAAGATAATTGGTTTCCAGTCCCACACGACCACATGACTATTTTAAGTCTACATACTTCGCTCTCAATCAGGAGCCATCAGGCGGGGGTGGGGAGCTCGGCCCCTGTACTGTGGGCCAATCATTTGATTACTGCCAGGGAAATCTGACACTGCCTAAATGGTCCTGTGTTGTAGTAAAGCCTGGCTCAGAATCTCCCACAAGTAGTTCCGTAAAGACTTCAGTCTAATCAAGTGCTCTCTTCACTAGTGGCCCCAGTCTCACTCGTAGATACATTATCAAATAAATGGTGTAGAAATTCAAGGTCGATGCAAGTTATTACAGTCCTGCAACTTTTTTAAGCCTCTTGAAATTAGGGCTATTTTATATGTTGTCAAATCGAATATAATTCACAGTAACAAAGAGGAACGTTATGTTTTCCACATGTTCAAAACTCAATGAAGTTAATTCGATTTTTTTTTATGATGAACTTTGTCTTTTTTTAAATGAGCCTGGAAGTCATGGCTGCAAATGATAAATCACACATTTTAGGGCTGAGCTGAATCACAGGAAAGTGTCCTGATCTGAAGTCTGCGGGGAGAATATCCCATTACTGTAAATGCCATGGCAATAGTCTCCTGCAGGTTAAACCCCCCTTTTACCTTTCCTTCTTCTTCTTCTTTCACACCTCACAACCTGATTGATCGCTTTTAATTGACAGCATGTCATCAGTTGACCACTGCACCTTGTCTGCCTGACTTCATCTCCGCTTCACGTCTGACCACATCCTTCCTGTCTCGTCTAGATATTTTTTTCATTCATCTGCCATCACCTTGTAACTGCTTTCACCATGTTAACCTGTCACTGCCCCTCTGGTATAAGCTTTAAATCACTCATGTCATGAACTGGTCTGACATCTCGCCTCTCATAGATCTGGTTATTATACTAAGTGCATGTCACAACCCACACACCACATGTGGACTGTTTGAATGTAGATATTTTTCATATTTCTCACCATATCCACACATTTCACAGACTGTAGAAACGGTTTCTTTCAAATCCCCTGCTAGCGATGTATAATGATTTAAAGTGATGTTTGACTGTGTCTGTCTTTCACTGTGACTGCATGACTTGTCAATATGATACAGGGATTATATCATCAACATATCTGTTGCTTCTTAGCTTACAAGGGTGCCTCACCTGGTGAAACAATAGAGCTTATTTTATCCTTAAAATGATTCCATGTTGACAAATAAACCTTATTTTAGCTCAAATATAATCACCCAAAATACTTCATGATGTTAAAGTGATGGGTCAGATTTGGTATGATTTCAATGCATGTTAAAAAGTACACTAATTTACTCATCATTACACACAGTATCATTCACTGTTATAATGTATTGCTTGGCTACAGTGTATGTGCCGCAGATTAGGGATATTTTTTTATTATGGTATTTTAAAATGTCTCTCCCCAGTTGATGAATTATGTCTGAGCTAAGCTTATTTAGCTGACTGGGCTAATTTTAGAGCTAAACTCTAAAGGGCCTTTTTCGGTCCAGCCCAGTGGATGGCTGTCATCCAACCTAATGATAAGAGACATTGCCATAGGGCCTAATTCAGTTTCACAGCCCTTCTTCTTGCTGGACGGAGATGAGAGCCAAATGTTTATCCACAGGACTGCTTGTTCTTCTGGGATCCACCGCCCTCGTGTTTCAGGTATAGCTACTAGAGAGCAGATACTGTTTCACTGCTCCTCACATCCTTAAGCCATATTAGCCACTGAGCTGTTGTGGAAAATGTTTGCATTCAAACGGTTACTTTGGATATGCACCGCCAGCAGCGATTTGTTGAATGATCTATAGCCAAAACATTAGCTTGCAATTTCTCCACAATGTGGGCACAGATTAAAAAGAAAAACTGTCACTCCCAGAGCGCTGTGAGACAGAGACGGAAGAGAGAGGGTTTTGCGTTCAGGGCTCGGATATTGATTAAAGATTTGTTTTTGTCAGCCTTTCCAGTCTCATGACCCTCGCGCTCGTCTCTAGGGTGGGGCAGAAGCAAGCTAGCATGACAGATACCCTTACATTTGGCCAAAGTGTTTGCTTAGCAGCCAGGATCAGTGATAATCCAAACATCAGCAGACATAAATATGTATCTTTATACGCATTTGACGGAGGGGGATGTGAATTATGAAGGGGCACAGGCTGCACAGGAATGTACAGTAAAGGCAACATGAAAGCTGCAGACCTATAGCCTCGTTTTGAACAGAAATCCTCGCCCAGTTTATCCTTTTGTATGTGAGCTCATCAACATGTAGAATGTAATTGGCTCCAGTGTGCCAGCCCAGCTCAGCACATCCTCTCTATAACAAGCCCTGGTATCAGCCTGTGTTGTACTTTAGAGTTTTACAACCAAATAGTTTTCTTGGCTAATGTACAAGCAGTCATTAAGCTTGCTCTTTCTACTCCAAAATAAATATGAAACCTAACAGGGGGAGTCCAGAAAATGCAAAGAAGTGGAGTTCATTTCAGGGTTTGATCAGCTCCCGGTAAACACAAGGATACATTTACATTTTCAAAGCCAGATTTCAGTCGGTAATTTGTTGTTTAATCACCGATAAAATCAGGCAATTTGATTAGTAAGAGCTCGTCTATATTCTGTAAAGCTATTCCAAATCTGGCATCCAAGCTTTACCCCCCTAGGGATGTTTTCCTCAGCTATAGCAAAGTCCACAGTATATGTGGATTTTCATGCCACAGTGGACATATCTTTAATTAGTAAGCAATACTTTGTTGGAAGACTCACAGTTCCTGCTTCAAATCTGTGGAAATGCCCGGTGGAGGGAACAGTAGACATGCAGTAGCTGAAATACTATTAGTGTAGATAAATAGCAGCTGAAAGAACAAAAGCGTTTAGAGTTATGAGAGCGTGATGCTGTGGAAAAGAAACCTCAGCACTCAACAAAGAGTTGAGATGTTGAGTTCACCTTTTGTGTGCTTTGAGAGCCTCGCAAGGAACGTTCTCGTGTACAAACATGCCCCTCTCAAGTTAGATAAGGACTCCCAGATTAGAGAAGGCCAACTCTGAACATCTAAAAAAAACAAGTGCCACATCTAAAACACATGGTTTATTTAACAGCACTGTGCACTGCTTGAAACATGACAGTAGTTTGCCCGTTCTTCAAGGACATACACGCATCCATGTCTGAGATAAATAAAAGCGTAAATGCAGCACTACAAATTAATGTATATAATCTAATTTTAATGTACTATAGGTTGTTAAAACGCCTCCACTGTATATGGACCATGTGTTGGCGATATGAGTCAACAGGCTGGACAGTTTCCTGGCTTGCCATCTTTGCTTTTTTCCTTTGCATAGTTAAGTGTTAATTTAGCAGCAAAATTAACATCCACACCAGCCTGTCTTGAATAAATAATGAATATGTCACCGCAAAATTAAACCTCAAATAAATGCTACACTAAGTGCTTTGTCCATTTAACTGGTGATGCTACAAACACCAGGAAAGCATCTCAGAAGAGAAAAGTTGCTTTAATTTGGATATTATAAAAATACATAGGTTTCAATATAAAAATGCAGATTAGCCAATCTTAATATTTATCTTGCAGCGAAGATCACTAAAATAGCCTGTCATTATAATAAATACTCGGCTTTGAATCAGTTGAATCAGTGCCTGCGACTAAATCATTGCAATTCATTGCATTATCCCAATAATCATCAGATATAAAACATTATCAAAACATTTAGTTAAGAAATACTTAGGCTATTTGTATTGCATTACAGATACAACAAATCATTTCTAGAGGAAAGCAACACACCTTAAATTAGGTAATCATAAATCATAAAGTCTGCCTGCATAAATTAAGGACAAATACATAAAACTAGAACATCTGTCTGCTCTTTCTTATTCCTGCATTCTTAAATCAGAATCTGCTTTTCACTTCTCTCATATGAAAGAGAGCTAGACAGCTTTTTTAAAATTACTTATTACTTTATTATTACGGTCAAACCATTCCACAGTTTAGCCTAAAACATTGAAACTTGGTTGACTTGTCTGTAAGATTAGGCTCAATTTCATGAAGCAATGTCTTATAAATAGGACACTGAATAGGCTATAGTTGACAATGAAAGTCAGCAAGTTACGGTACATTTTAAATATGTGTTAAACTTTTGAGGAGAGTTTGGCGGAGGGATACTTCAGGCTGCGTAAAGTGGAAGGGACAGGTTCATGTTGTTGTTATGAAAACAATGGCGACTTTTTTCTATATTTCCGTCGATTTGGACCGCTTATCAACGCGGTGAGCACCTGTGTAACAGTGGAAGTGGCACAGATCATGCGGGATACGAGGTATTTCAAAAACATGAGCGTCCGCGATTACTGCGGTCAGCGGTAACATAATGGAACTTTACTCCGACTAAAAACGTAGTCATAATAACCCTTCCGTTAAATCTGAACACACAGGCCTACATGATAAAGATTTACTGTAGCTTTTCGACTATCCACCGAATATCCATAAACTTGCTTAGAAAGTATAGAAACGTAACGCTGACTGTGCTTCCAGAACTAGCTTGAGAATCGCCACGTTTTATAGTTGTATTTTAGTATGAAAGTAGTCCTGTGATAGTAGGCACATTTTCATCCACGTTTACCAACAGGAGTCGCTAATGGCTAATTCGGCATACTGTTAACGATGCCAAATTGCAAAAATTTAAACAAATGTAGTCTACGCCTAGAAACTGGGATTAACATTATAGTTTCTAGTTTGCTCCAAGGCATTGTAGGAACTACTTTCCCAAACGTAATTCAGTGTAGGCTATAAATTGCAATTTGTTAGCTTTTTGTGTTAGTTAGTAATACAGGTAAATAGGCCTAAATGCTTTTTGTAAAACTATTCAAAATGTAAATCATACTTTTGAATATAAAAGCTTTTTTAAATCATGTTTACAAAACAACGTTGTACAGATTGTGTCCAGTGTAAAGGATTATGTTTGCTGGGAACATATCGTCTGAATATAGATTTGGCTTTTATGAAGGGGTCTTCATAATAGAGATGTGTCTTTTTCACATTCAGCACGTTTGTTTTCACATTAGTAATCAAACCCCAGTTTCAGCAGTATCCTGATTTCAGAGGCGTCCATGTAAGGTTAAGGGATTAAGAGAACGCCAGTTAACACCTTGTTAGTCCTGCAGGGTTAGGCTAGCTGGCTCTGTTGCCTGGGGGGTTGTTAGCTGAAAAATACAAGACTGGCATTTCAAAGGAAAAATGCATGTTGCCGTTGTGTCACCTTCCCATGTGCACAGCATACTGAACAGAGGGGATTTTTTGCATACTTCAGGCAGAGAGAGATTGCACAAAAAAATGTTGTGCGATGACCAGTGTAGAAGATTGTGCAACGATTAAACCAAGTGAGGATTTGATTACATTATTCAAATCTTCTAAGCTGTATATGTTCATCACAAGTGTTTTAGCCTGCTGGCAGATTGTGTAGACATATCCTCCTCCTACAGAAGATTTATAACTCTGTGAGACAATCCTCAACATTCTTGAGACGTATCCCAGTTCAGCTCTGTCTCAATGGTGTCATAGAAGTGTGTGCCAGGGAGCAGCATTGAATTCTGAATAATCTGTGCAGACAGCTTTGCCATATGTATCGGCTGCTACTGCTGTCTGCCGGTTTCTACTCAGCCATGCTGCATCTGAGTTTGCATCCATTGAGATTTTATTTGTAAGTGGGCTTCAATATTTACGACCTTTTCTTGCTCTTCTTGAGCCTTTTAGTGAAAGATTACGAAAATGAGTCCCTGCTAAATGCTAGACTACAGTGTCTTGCTTATTTTAAATTGCTTTATGATTATACAGCGTCTACACAAAAAACAACCTCCTTTTTTTCTCGAGTACGACTCTGATCATTCAGTTGCAGCGTGTTTTCCAGTTCTGAGGGTGAAGCCGCTCTGGTGCTACTACCTATGAGCAGATGCTGTATGTGATTCTTAATTGGGCAGAGCGAATGATTAGAGATACCTGCACAGCTCTTTTAAAACAGGGTGTACACGCAGAATTATAGGTACAGATGGAAATTGCGAACACCACAGATCTACTCCTGCTTTCCTTTGGGAGCGATGATGTTCCTCCTTACACATTACACTCCACGGCAGCTACATCTCTGAGGACTGGCGGTGTTCATTCCCACTGAATTTTCCATATGGGAATTTCTAGGCAGGAGCACTTGGTTCTGTCTGTAATGTACGCCAGGCTGCTTGCTCGCTTTTTATATCCTCATTATCAATGCACTACCGGACTATTTGTATGGGTTTCAAAGTGGTATTTTGCTCGGTTCAACTCTTTTTGCTTCTTTTTTTTATTACTGATATCAGCGACCCTAGGGGTCCGTAGTCAGCACTCATATGCAGGCTTTTCTCTGTCTCTGCCTTTCCTCCCCTAGTATCCTAACCCACAGTTATACAAGTTTGAAGGAATGTTGTTTTCTAGCTGTAATACATTTTCAAAACAAATTGCATTGCAAACAAATGCAGTATTTTGAGTTACCTTTTGGTGAATGTGTTTACATTCAATCCACCCAAATTAAAACTGAGTAATAGATTTATTTGCACACACACTCAAAAAACTGTTTGTAAATGCTCTGGAAGTTTACTCTAAACAAAAGATTGAATGCTCACAACAAATATAACAGGGGACAGGGATAACCTTAACTTTAGCGGAAACTATAGACAAGAAAAGCTCATCCTGTTTGCTTGCTGCGCTTTATATAACAAACATGGTAAATTATTTCCTCGATGACAATCTTTTATGTGTCCGTGCACCCTTTTGAAATGAACCATACACCTTTTCCACACACAGACCTTTTAGATGCCGATATTGCTTTTTTGACGAGCATTTTCCATTCTGTGAATTGTTTAGTTTAAACTTATTAAAGATAAGATCTTTGCCTAGAATATCCTTGTTTTGTATCTTAGAAACTTAGCCTATATCTAAAGTTCTGAGGGGGGGGGAAACACGCCAATACTATAATGTATAGATACAGTATATATATCTATATATATATATATGTGAGTGATTTTTTCATTACATAATTCATTCCACATGTTTTCGTCCTCTGAAACAAATATCATTTGTTCATATTTGAGCCATCTGCATATTTTAGAAGGAATAAAGCACTGGAATGAGAGGAACATTTAAATGCATCCATGCATGAGAGCGGCCTTAAACCCTACTGTTTTATAATGGTTGTGAAATGTAAATGATATATTGAACGACATTTATTGTGATGTAAGCATTGGGCCTGGTAATTGTAATTATTTCCCTGAATAATATACCACATTCTGGCTTGCAGCACGCAGTTTCCCATACCAAATCCCCATACACTTTAAAATCACTCAAGGGTGTTTACTGTGTCTAAATAATGAATAGACACAGCCTTTACAAGTTGACAGTGAAACATTTCTGGCGAGATCCCCTGATGGAATGCATTTCACAGTAAAATAATTGAGTCCAGTACAAAATAAAATGTATGCAATACTCTGTTCTTAAATGAATTTCCTTATTCAGTTGGGGATTGTTATTTGACAGTCTGTGTGTTGCTGCAGACTGATAGTCTGATAAAGAGGTAGATGAACAAGTGAATAAGAGATGAAGCCTGTGCTAAATATTCTGTTTTGTCTTGCTCTTGTTCTAGATGAACATGGACATTTGAAAATATACCTGCCCAAGAAGCTGCTTGAATGTCTACCAAAATGCACCTCGCTGCCAAAGGAGAGACACCGGTGGAACACTAATGAGGTGAGGCTCCTCATCACAGCCCGTCTGCTCCATCCATCCCTCTGCTCACACGTCTGCATGAGACACGTTGTTCTTTCAGGCCTTTTTCAAATGTACAAGACTCTCTTCAAAACATCCTAACATCTTTGTAATAGGTGTCCCCGATTTACCAAATATCATTATGGGAAAAAACACTTCCAAATTGGGTTCATTTTCTGGTATTCCATCTTCAGATTACAGCAAACTGACAATTCAACATGAGTGGGTCTGTACAAGATTACAAAAAAATGTTTATAATTCTTATCTTATTTTATTTGTTGGATTGGTTATATTTAAAAGGCAATTTCAGAAACAAATCTGCAAAATATCTTTGCAAATATTTAATTGAAGTGTTTAAAAAATATATAGTTTACTGCCTCGTATTTTCTTCACAAACAAGTGAAACATAGTAGTAGTTGATAGATGGATATATAGATTAATGGATAGATAGATAGATGGATATATACTGTATATATATATATATATAGATTGATAGATGGATAGTTAATTCATGGGCTTTGTCCCTTTTTAATTGCAATACATTCTTTAGTTGAAAACTAAATATAAGGATAACCCCATCTTCGTCTATCTTCATGTTTCTACTGGGACATTTGTAAAATCTCTTCTTGCAGTTTATGTTTACTATGGATTTTCTCATGCTCATTATTCTGGAAGGAAACCCTGTTTTGCAGAAATCGAAGGTTAAAGTCAATTGCATGTTGAGTCCTATTCACCAACGTTTCCTGCTGCTGTATTTAGCAGGCATCGCGAGGGGCTCTCCATGTTAACGTAAACAGTGTTTAACATTGGTGCTGTGAAAGCTCAAGGTGTCTCGCACTTCATATTTGCATCGCATTAGGGAAGATAACACTCCTCTTTACATTTTCTCTGTGGAAAATCAAATCTGAAAACACTATGATCTTGTGAGATGCCACAGATGCCCTTTGCTATGGTTTTATTTTCCTAAAGGACTTTTTGAACTCTTTCGCAGGACCATTTATTTAAAACACTTTTTTGTCTTGTTTGCTGTAGTTGTTTAAAAATATGTTTTCTTACAGGAATGCGGAGTCTTCTAGAAAATTGAACTGCCAAATGAATTGCTGCTGCCTTAATCTTGATTTACTACATGTGTGTGCAGACACACCTCATTTCCTCTTGTATTTTGTGTAGTAATTTTCTAAATGCACAAGAAATTGGAATACAGCCCATAACAATCTTCATGATTCATGCACACATAGTTATGATCTGCTCTTCCATTATATTAATGCATGGAACGACATATATTAAAGTCTTTAACATGTTATACTGTATTGGCCTTACAGGGACACTTCCTGCATTTTGCTCCAAACTCATTTACCAACCTGCTCTTTTTCTCGGGGGACAGGTTGATGAGTTTATCTCCTTTGTTTCCACATTTGATGGATGAAAAACTGCTTGTTCTCTTTGAAGAATAACTAGTAGCAATTAGCCCTAAACACACACCATGACAAATCTTAAAATAAATATGAAAAACTCAACCATCCATGCTTTTGATTAACACATTGTGACCGTAAAAATATAGTCATCTGCAGTGATGAAAGTTAATTGACTGAAAAACAACCAGATGATAAGTCACCAGACCGGCTCGTTTATAAGGAACAGGAGATTCAAAAAGACAATCTGTCAATGACATACAGTTAAATATTTTTTTCCCCCGACTTTGTGTAGTCAATATATTTGAGAAAATAGATGAAGGAATTCATTATTCATCTGGGATAAAGACGTGGATCTGAGGAAATAGACACAAATACGACTGGGATTACTACAGCAATAAATACTCAGTTTCTGATCATTTGCAGTTTTTATCCAAGTCACCATCTGTCATATCTTTGCTCACAAGCCCTGCCCTAGTTATGAAACAAATGTCTAACGCTTGTGTGTTTCTAATTGGCTGATGTTGTAACTTGTTTGCCCTGTCTGACCTGCATTGTGCTGCCAGCAGTCTAAATTAATTAACATGGCTTTGAAATTGATCTCAAAATGCAAGTCTGGGAAATTGCTTGGGATGAATGCTAGTGTTGTTAGCATTTCTTGTCATATATTACCACATTTAATCAAAACAGGCTTATTTTCAGGGATAACACCATGTTATTGTGTTACTGGGCTTCAGATTCTGCTGTGGATGTTTGGTGGGCTGATGGCACATTTTAACAAAAAAGTCAGTTCCAGTGGTGTTTTGGTATGCATGACAATAGTGTTTCCAGGGTTGAAGAGAGCAAGACAACCTTTCCGAAATTGAAGGACGTTTCTTTTTTGTGCAGACCATGCAAATCAGAATGTGTGTGCCTCATTGGTAGCAGACGTGCAGGAAGGGAGGGATCAGAGAGGCTCCTTGTCGGCGCAATTGTGTGACTCTTAGTGAAAGTGACACCTCATCAATTCTGTGCATATTTCTGGCACTAGCTCAGCAGGCTTAATGCTCTAATTTTCCACTTTTTACGTTTCAGGTATCTCAGTATTCTGGTAGGTTAGAGCTGCTAATTTGTATTTAATATATTTCACCACACAGATTGGTGGCTTCGTTTTCTCTTGTTTCATAACAAACATCTTCTGGTTATTGGCCAGTCATTTTTTCCCCTGTTTGATTTAAGAGGTCCTATGATGCTTTTTGGGGTTTTACCTTTCCTTTAGTGTGTTATATAGGTTTTTGTGCATGTAAATCAGGGGTGGGGAACCTCCGGCCCCCGGGCCGTATACGGACAGCGAGACCATTTGGTACGGCCCTCGAGGTAATTTATAAACACACGCAAAAAAGAAAAAAATTAAAGAAATCTAGACCGCAAAAGAATTAAACAAGCGAGTGCCTGTTTTTCCTGGCCAGGGTTCTTGAACACAACACAAGCCTAACGTGTCATCACGTGGTATGTTTCTCGTCTGACAGGGGTGTAGTTCTGACGGAGAGCACAAGAACGCCGCTCCGGCACTTCAGAAATTGCAGTACCCATAAGGAGCCATACACATGCCACAGTTTTTGCGTGGGTGTGTCTTTAGATGAAAGCCCAGTGGCATCTGTTCATCTGTCATACTGATCATACAGTCAATAACTTTGTTGTTATTAGCATCTGGTTAGCTAGCTATGCTAACGAATACGAGAAGCTTTTTCTACAACCAGTGAGGTAAAGGCACATCTTTATATGATCATTATAGTTATAAAAAAATAAGAGAATAAAGTAAACAGGTATAAAATACTATATGACAAACAAGAATACAGTTTGAAAAGGGAGTGATTTGTAAAATATGATAAAATAAATAAATAAGGCAAGGCACGTTTATTTATATAGCTTTTTTCTGTACGCGATAATTCAAAGTGCTTTACAAAACAAATTAAAAGACAGCTATATAAATAAACGTGCCTTGCCTTATTTATTTATTTTATCATATTTNTAAACGGACCTTCACGCGTTATCAAGCAGTGAGCGTGCGATGTCCTGTTCAGATGACGTCAAATCCAACGGGATGCCATAAATAAACTACACAGAATCACACTACACACCTACGCAATGATTACATTCAGGCAGACTGTAGAATACAACCTCTTTGGACAATTTATATACTTATTGAAAACAAGCTACAAAATGTAATACCTTGGAAAATGCCGTTTAGTACTTTTTAATAGCCTTAATTTTCGCTAAATTGATTTGTCAACTTTTAATACTTTTTAAGACCCAGCGGACACCCTGTAACAACATTTAATTGAATATCATTAACTCAGAAATGTAAGGAACTTATTTTACAAATAAAGAAAGTTATGAGTGGAGCAGCCGTAGGCTAAACAGCTCTCTTAAACCCTCAAAAAAGAAATGTCTTGATTAAAATAGATTGTATACACGAATGCCACTGAAGCATCGTCCCAAATTAAGAAAGTCAAAAACATTTCCGTTAGGGACAAACTCTGCTCCTGCTGAAGGGCTCAGACATGTTTAGTAGTTCCGGTGCTACCAGTCGTAAAAAAAGACTATAATGTATAAAAGGATTCAGTTTAAAAAACGTATCAGCTTGCCAATATATGCAATATGCTTTTAAAAGTACCAAGAGGCTTCTTAGATTACAGAGAGGATCATGAAAGTGAATATGATTACGCTGGCTCCTGCCATTCAATCCCGCTCGTGGCTGGCAGAACAGAGGTATTCACTCATAAGAACATCTACTGTATAAGGAACAATATAACAGTTTATTGAAGCATAGCCTCAAATGCAGAACTCATTTTCCTTTATCTAGTAAATAAAGTTAAACTCCATTACGAAATGGTTCCGCACAGAGAAATCCTGAGCCAGCAATACAGAGAAAAAAGGTTGAAATCTTTGCGTCTGTACCTGAATAGCTTTGCAGCTCAGTGAGCACATGTGGGAGAAGGGAGAGAGACAGAAGATAAGAGTAAAAGAGGGTGACCAGAGGAAGAGAAAGCTGGATAGAAATCGAAGACACAAGCTGGGTTCAATTTAACGGCTTCCCACAGGAGTCAGAGTGACCTGTATCTGCTAAAATAGAGGTCATGCAATTTTGAGTGGATCCCCCCGTCTTCAGAGGATACTGAAGACCCCTGCCTTGATGTGCACATCCAGAGGAAAAAGCAAAGGGTCCCTGTAGCCTGCAGAACCCCCCGAATGACCTGACTGGTTGGGTTCCTATTACAACTACCTGACTACACCGTAGCCTCGCAATTGACACTTCACAGTATGCTACAACACTAGCAATCAGTAAAGCTATCAAGCTCACAGGAAGTTACTATGAAGTCAGCCATCCAAAGAAACTCCACAAATTCCTGTTTTCTACTTCCACAAGCCAAATGGCAAAGAAAAAGCACCGTGAAATATATCAAGTAAACTGAAACGTAGTGAAGCCGTAAGATGAAAGTAAGTATGATAACTCCCAACACATAGACATAAATTAGCCTGGGTGCTCCTATTAAAAACACTTTGAAAAGAAATGGAGACAAGTTGTCA